ACAAGCACATATAGACGATCGGCGGGCTATGGAGCCGCCGATCATCTATATGTGAAACACCCGGTAACTGGTGTTTGCTTTGGTCGGGTATTTTCTGCCCGTGCGTGCCCGAGCAGAAAGAAAATTCCGTCCGGCAACCCGCCAATGCTGCAGTGCCGTCCGTCCGTTTTTTTTACAATGGGCGGACGGCAAGTGGTTAATAAGTAAGTTTACAATCATCTAATGGACATGGTTATTAGGAGTGGGATAGACGTTATGGGCATTCATTATAGACATACAGATTTAGTTTTTAGTTTTTGACCATAGATACTCTTTAACTGCTTTACGTCTGCTGCAGGTCTGTATGCAGCGGTAAACCAAAACAGTTATATCAAGATCATGGCTGATGCAGCAGCCATGATCTTGGTATTTGTTTTTTGTTTTTTTTACAACTGGCAATAAATGTTTACATACAAGCTTTCCAGCAGCTATAGAGACACCTGATCGCTTGTATGGTACTGGAGAGTGTGACAACCGTGCGAGAACTGCTCAAGATCTGAATGGCCTAGTTGTGAACCTAGCCTGAAGCAGGCCATACATTATTCATTATTGGAATTTCGAGCGGTTGTTGATGAACCCTCCCTCGATCTCTGATTGAAGGAGACCGTCGGAAAATCTTCAAACGGAGCAGGCATGCAGTCGGCTGCCTCTGTTCGGACATTCTGACAGCGGCCCGCAGGTTGGATGAAGAAAATATTACAGTGTATGGCCAGCTTTAGTTCTGAGAAGAGTACACTTTGTTCTCACAATACTACTTCTTTAATAAAGAAAGTGTTTACCCCTTGGCTTTCTTTGCCTCACTATTACTAGCAGTTAGTCAAGTTTTTTGCCTTGCTTGCTCATGTGATAGCTGTAATGATCAATATTGTGTATCATCTTATTGCATTGACAGATTCTTATCCCTTGTGCCAGTCCACAAAGCATCTATGGCAATGCACAACTAGGAAAAGTTTACTAAAATTCTCCCTTAAAGGAGAACTATGAGGTGAGTGCTTTTCACTCACCTCATAGTTCTAGCCGACCTGTGACAATGAGACTGTCACAGGTCAGCTCAGTAGATCGGGAGGTGAGCGAACACATGCCGGTGTTCGCTCACTTCTCGATCCTGTCACGGCTCTCTGCCGTGACAGGGGAGGGGATGGATTCCCCGCTCCGATCCCACAGCGTTGACTGGCGGAACGGACGGGGGAGGGGCGGGTACAGTGGGCTCTGCCTTTAGATAGGCAGAGCCAGCTGTCACTCACGCAGCTGGGCAGATCTCGACATCGATGTCGGGTTCCGCTCCGGCTGTGGCGTCTCAGTATACCGCGAGCTGTAGCTCGCGGTATACTGAGCTTAGGGTAACGGGAGGACGCTAGTTTGTGTCCTCCCGTTACCCTAAGGAGAACTATGGGGAAAAGCCCTGACCCCATAGTTCTCCTTTTAACACTTCAGTTGGGATATTTCAAGCAGCTTTTCCCTAGTTCTTGGGATGTCTGGTTTACATCCTTTGTGTTTTTAATAATAAGAGTTCATCTGACGTTTTTGTCTAAATATAGCCCAAGAGGAAAAGAAGGTTTTTTTTTTGTTGATCTTTGTTTATGAAGGTTGTACTGGAACAAGAGGTGGCAGTTAAACATTTTAAGCCAGTGTTTTGCCTTGGTAAACATTGTATCAAGTGTGCTAAGTAGCAAATTAATGAAACCTTAATCTTTCGAAGTTTATTTTTGCAAGTTAAAGTTTTATACCTTGTGATTTGCGTAGTCACATCCAGGCCAAGTACATGTGGGTGCTGAATAGTGATGCACACCAAGAATCTGTGTTAAAGCTGAATTTGCGTAAAAGCAAAAATGTAACCTTGCCCTACCCCTGCCCCACTGAACGAATTGAGAGTTAAGTAAAGCCAAACTTTTTTTTTGGGGGGGGGGTTTAGTTCTTTTTTGGGGTCATAGGAGTACGTTCAATAATGTACTCCTGTCACCCAAATTCAGCAAATAGCGGGCTAATGCCTAATATCAGCTGAGAGTGCAAATCTGCTTCACAGGTGAGAATAGTCCCAACAAAAATGTCAGAATCCGCCTGGCTGCCCGATTGACAGCTTGTTCTGCCTTTCTAGAGCCAGAGCCAGCCATGCCCACCTCCTTCCCTGTTTGTCTCTCCAATGAGCACTGGTGAACAGAGAGGGGTAGTCTTTTGTCTTCTCTGCAGAGTGAAGAGACCAAAAGCTGACCGATCAGTGTTAACATAATCACTCAGCTCTCATTGTTTGAGCCAGCCAGCTTGTGACCGCTGCAGTGTCCCGTACCGGCTTCAAGCAGCAGGAAGAGTGTTTTACTCTCCCCACACTTCTCCTTTAACTGTTTGCTTTGCCTAGGGATGGTATATAAGTTGACATGACATACTTACGTAAGTCCTCCTTTTATTCTGCAGGCAGTGATGTCCTCCATTGTCTGACACTCTGGAATGTGGGCAGGCTCGCCCCTTCTTCCAGTACAGTGCAGAACACTTGGCCCTTAAGGGTAAATTTAACAGCAGCCCAACGTTGGACTTTAAATACATAAGTATATCACCTTATTCATCTTCTGGGTAAAATTTGTGAAAATCTTCTTCCTTTTTTGGGGGGGGGGAGTTCATGTTTAAATTGACTGTGTTAAGTATGGCATATGTCAGGAGCAACAGTAGGAAAAGGCATACAGGCAGCAGTAAAAATCTAAAGGAGATTGTAAGTCATTGTTCATTCATTCACATTTTGAGCCAGGGCAGTACATTTATTGTAGGATTAAATGCTCCTGCATGGCAGTCTAAACAAGAACCAAATCAGGTTAACATGATGCATAAGCCTCATAAAGTAAACAAAATACTTCCTTTAGCGTCCCTAAATGAGCCAAACCCTCCTTTTATTTGTGTCTCATATGCTGCCCTTTCCAGACACTGCAGCTCACAGGTCCCAAGTGCTGACAGACAGGCTTTTGAGTCAGCAGTGACAATGCTGATAGCCACTTACCCTGCAACATCTTCTCATCCCACTGTAGTAGTGCAAGCAGGCATAGTCTGCATGAGAGTGGCAACTCTGCTCTGAATTCAGAAGCAATGCAGCATAATTGTCAAAAAATCACAGGAAGTTACATTGGGTGGACTTTATTTGTGGGACTTTGCAGGTGGACAAAGAGAACACTGCAAGTGCGGATGCACGTACAAATAAGTGCTGTAGCACATTTATTTTTATGAAGGCCACAGTTCTATGTTAAGTTTTGTGAATAATATTAGATACTTGCTTTGTTCTATTTTTGCATTTACCAGGTCTTGAAGTGTCTACTATATTCGGAATCTTTCAATTTGACTTGACATCATGGTATTTAGTCTTCAACAGGCAGCAAGCCACTTTGGAATGTTCACATAAGCATGGAATTATATTGTGTCTATAGTCTGCACCTGGTAGCAAGAAAATGGAAATATTCTTAACTGGCCACAGTGGAGAAATTTAGACCCAGTATAAGTTTAACATAATATAAGTGAATGAGTATTATTTCCCAAGGTGAATATTTTGCTGCCCTGGCTCAAATAACTATAAAAGTGGAATTAATGTGGAGCTCCAGTAAAACAGCTGATTACACAATTAAAATACTCGTATCTCTTTTCTCTTGCCATGTTTGTTTTGTATGCCTCGTTGTTCCAAATTAAAACTTTGTGCGATGGAAAAAAAAAAGAAATACTCATATGATATCTGATAAAATGGCAATCCTCAATGCTGTTGCACTATCTTTTTGAGTAAGTCTGTACCAGGGGTAGGCAACCTTGGAACTCCAGCTGTGGTGAAACTGCAATTCTTATCATGGCCCCTGCCTTTTGGGAGTCACGCCTGTGGCTGTCGTAGTCTTCCAATGCCTCATGGGATTTGTAGTCCCAACAAAGCTGGTGTGCTGAGGTTGCCTACCCCTGGCCTATGTGGTCCATTACTTGCAAGATTTATAGTAGTTGCTCATATGACATTATCCCCTTGTTGCCTTATTTTAAAGATCCCAAAATATGGCAGATGAGGCAATGTCATTAGTTTAATTTTATGCAATTGGGCAATTCAAAATCCTTGCATATTATTCATTCTATAATGTGAGCCCTGGGGGTTACCTACTACAAGCTCACGCTAATAAGCAATTGGAAAATGCTAAAATGTGATGATAGAAAAGTGAAAGTAATTTACTGGGGAAAATCATGTATCGACTAATCCATCCCTTTTTTTTTATTTTATATATTTGTTAATGCTTGCCTAAAGTTTGGTGAAGGGAGATCCTTCTGCATCGCTGCCCATCATCAGCTACGCATTTACTGCTTATTCAACACACATCGCAGAGATCCTGGTGTCTTTAGATGTTGAACTTTCTGCAAAGAGTGATATGAGGTTTATTGATGCTGTTTACAAGGTAAGGTATATTTCTGTTCTCTGTCTTAGCAATACTGAAATTGATCCTGGTATTACAGAAATAGCAGTGATTAAAGGAGAACTTTATAATTACAAATGTAGCCAAAATTAATGGCATGTTAAGTCTTTCTTTATAACTTTCTACATCCCCGGCTCAGCACCTGAAATCATTCAAGTAGTAGGACTGTGGCCACTTGCTGATGAGAGATTTAGAGAGGAGACAGTGAATGAAACCGTTGTCTTTGTGGGCACCAGTTAGACTAGCCCAGACCTTGGTAAAGAATTAGGGAGGTGATCAGTTAGCTCACCGAGACCAGGCGGAGTTTAAATATACAAGAAGCACACAAAAAGAACTGCAGGCTCAGAAAATGTGGCCCGACTTTTTAGTGAAAACCAGCTTTGAAGATTAGAACACATTGATAAAGAATCAAGATAATGATTCAATCTACGCAATGTTTAACGTAAGTTTAAAGCGGACCTTTACACTCAAAAATCAAATTCTACCAATGCATCCCTCTATGTATTATGATTAATAATAACATAGGCATGTCAGGTGTAAAATGCTGTGACTTTGAAATACTTAAATATATGCAGAACATTCACTTTGTGCTTTGAAAGTGCAAATTACTTCAGTTTGCAAACCCAATGCACAGTGGGATTGCCTTGTCATCAGCAGAGCATTGCTGGGAAATCTCATTTCAGTGAAAGGCATTTTCCTCCCCTGAGAAGATGTGCATGGTCACATGTGCCAGATTTTCAAGAAGTAATAGGAGAGCTAGTAATCTGCCCTTCGTTAACATGGTCACTGTCAGAAGGCTGGGGAAGAAAAGAGAAATAAGAACACAAAGCATCCAATTATCTGGAAGTATGTGTTTGTAGAATGCCATTACTAAACATTTCTAAAGCTGTGTTTGTTGTTATTTTAAAGATATGGGTAAAGGTCCGCTTTAAGGCTCCTTTTAAGACTCTAAAGAAGTACCAAATCCATTCAAGAAGTTCCCATACATCCATGTATTCAATGCACAAGCCTCATAACGTAAACAAAAAGCGTCCTTTACCATCCCTGACAGCCAAATCCTCAATTTGTATCTCACCAGCTTCCCCTTGCAGACACTGCAGCTCACAGTGGGCGGCGTTTCAGCAACGATGGTGCGGCACCATTGCCACACCATCACTAGAAGCTGTGGTGGGTGAACTTCACTGACAGTTATTTGTAGGACTTTGCTGGGAGACCAAAAACTGTGCAGATGCACTTATAATAAAGTACTGCGGCACATATTTTTTTAAACAGGAGGCCATCATTTTTGTTTGCTCTGTGGTCTGTATTATGATGTACAAAAACATTTTTATTTCAATTTTTTTTGCAGGTTCTTCGAGATATATTCCATTACAAGCCTGTACTTACAAAGCAGCAGTTTCTTCAGTGCGCCTTCTCTGAAAGGAAGATACAAACAGTCTGTGACATTATTGACTGTGTGGTGAAAAAACATAAGGAAATCGCAAATCAGACAAAGGTACCAAATTTATCCTTCCATGTACTGTTATACTTAATTTGAGCTCCAGGGTTTCTTAAAAAGAAAGCAAAGCTTATAGGTAACAAATAGGGATGCACCGATACCGGTTCTTTCTGTATCAAGTATGAGTACCAATATTTTTTTTTTACGGTACTCGGCAATAGCGATACCAGAAATCCCTTTAAAGAAGCCAGGCGGCATGTAATGACTCGCCACATGGTCTCCTGATTAGCCGTGCGGCGTGTAAAGACTCGCCACCCGGCTTCCCCTTTTAGCAGGGAAGCCGTCCCCATGCTTCTCGTCACTAGGTGACGAGAAAGCACGGAGTCGGCTTTCTGGCCAATCAGGAAGCCGTGCGCCGTGTAATGATACGCCGCCCAGCTTCCTGATTGGCCGGGAACCCGGCTCCTTCGTCATGAGGTGACGAGGGAGCATGAAGCCAGTTTCCCGACCAATCAGGAAGCCGGGCAGCGTGTAATGACTCGCTGCCCGGCTTCCTGATACCGGAAGTACTTGGCATCGGCACCAATACTTGTATCGGTGCATCCCTAGTAGCAAGCATTAACAAACAAATGTGTGGCAATAAATAACAATGTAGTTTACACAAAAACAATAAAAAGCAGCAATTTATGGGAGTGTATTAAAAGCGGGTAGCAGGTCCTGCATGAGGTCACTGCAGTAGCCATTACTACATGCCTCAGTAGCACTTTTACAAACAATGTGGGTGTGCATGGGGCTTCCACAATGTTTTGGTGCCTATTTATAGTGTGCTGATTTCAGAGTAAAAAAAAAAACCTAAAGCAAAATGAAATAATCTGGACAATCTCTTTTTCTTTTTCTTTGCTTGGTATGCTGTGTTTTGGGATACTTCCTTTGGAAGATCATTTCATTTTTCATTTTCTTTTGGTATTTGTGAGAAGGTATGCTTCATTTCTGATTTCCAACACTGACACTTCTGGGCGAAAACCTTTTGAAAATGTCTTAATTATAAATTGGCCGAGTTTCTTTGTCCAGTTGATCTGGAGTCCATTAGCAGCTGATGAAATAGTTTGTGGCCTAGGAAATGTGATTTTGTTTTAAGAAGGACATGTGTTCACAATTTTCCCATTAACCTTGCCTTATTATAGGGAATGTATTCTACAGTGCATGACTTCCAAAGTGAAATAATGGCCATGGCACAAGTATCTGTAGTTATTTGTTTTTCTTTTTAGGTGCGTTTAAATAGTAAACATGGCGTTTGGTTTGACTATACATTCTTTGCCTAATCTCTTTTGTCATGCTTTGGCCTGCAAATTGGTGTAGAGGGCGGGAGATTATTTATCAAATTTTTGTCCTGTCTAGAATTCTCTAGTCTTCATCTAGTGCTTTTCTAACACTATTAGTCTACTGTTTATCTAAACCCTGAATATGATGTATCCGCTTCCAGCATGACTAATTCTATCACACAATTTTCCAAACAAGTGATGTCAAGTTAGCATGTGTAGCCCCGTTGAGTTCTTTCTCAAAGGCACAATGATCACCATCGAGTCAGTTTACCAAAGCTTAATGCATTCTGTATTTTTATTACCATTGATTTGTTTACACAATAAATAAACACATTTATAATATTGCGCCGATCTGCTTGGTTTACTGCAGGACATTATATTATCACTTATGTGGTATTTTGCCTGTTAGTTCACAAATTACGGCTTCATTAAATACTGTTAACTTCTGACTACAATTAGGTTTGAGTTTCTTTAAAGGAGAACTATGACATGAGTGATTTCCACTCACGTCATAGTTCTAAGCCGACCTGTGACAATGAGACTGTCACAGGTCGGCTCAGTAGATCGGGAGGTGAGGGAAAACATACCGGGTTCCCTCACCTCTCGATCCTGTCACGGCTCTCTGCCGTGACAGGGGGAGGGGCTGGATTCCCCTCTCCCCGCTCCGATCTGCCAGCGCTGACTGGCGGAACGGATGGGGGAGGGGGCGGGTACAGCTGGCTCTGCCTCTAGATAGGCAGAGCCAGCTGTCACTCACGCAGCTGGGCGGATCCCGTCATCTAAGTCGGGATCCGCTCCAGGTGCGGCGTCTCAGTATACCGCGAGCTGTAGCTCGCGGTATACTGAGCTTAGGGTGACGGGAGGACGCTAGTTTGTGTCCTCCCGTTACCCCAAAGAGAACTATGGGGAAAAACACTGACCCCATAGTTCCCCTTTAAGCTCTCAATTAAGGAGAGCAGAAAGAAGGAGTCATTCGAGTGGAGGTGAATGACTGCTGAGCAATAAAGGCTTTAATATGGTTAAATAATTGTTTAATACTAACTGCAACCATTCCACGCCTGTGCGATATTTGTTTTGTCAAATAAACATGATTCTCCTAATAGAATTATGAACTATTACTCAACACCAATGGGAGGCAGTTTGGCACACAGCTGCAAGTTCCTCTGTGTGCTCCTTGTATAACGAGAATCAATACAAAATAATTTTTGTGGTACCATACCCCTGAATTTCTCTGTTCAATCTTCCCAGTCACAGGAGGCTGAGAGGTGTGGTAGGAGAGACGCCGGCCACTCACTCGCTCTCCTCCTGCAGCGCTCGGCCACCTGTGAGAGTTTCTCTCCTCCCCGCTGGGACACAGAGCTGCGCCCAGTGGGGAGGAGAGAAAGAATGGATGCACCGCTATATCGGCCAGATAATTGCACTTTCTGCATTATGCCAGAAGTGCCATTTTCGGCCAATATGATGGTGCATCCCTAATAAATAGCATTAATTTTGAAAGCACAACAGTCTATCAAAGATAGTGGTAAATGAGGTGGTAATATTGGTAGTAGTACCTGCAGTTCCAGTACTTTTTTGTTAATAGTTAATGTACTTAAATGCATTTTTGAGCTTTAACTTAGTTTAGTGTCCCTTCAGTGCTCGTTTTGTGTAAAAAAAAAAAACTCATCCGAACTCCGAACTTCCTCCCGGCTGTCCCGTCTGCAAGACGTGTTTAGGAATTGGCTGCTCTATTGTGAAAGGTGACTTTTGTAATTCTTCATATGGATAGGGTGGTGCTGAGACCATCCCAAAAAGATTTCCTTGCACTGTTTGGATGTAGTACAGGCCACTGCATTTATTTGACAAGCGGATAACCTTTGCACACTGCATGTGAGCTACCTCAAGGGGCACCTTGCTTCTGACTCCACCATTGCTTAGTGGATTAGGCAGGTCATTACTAAAGCTTATTTCTTGAAGGACAGGTTTTCTCATTTTCCGGTTAAGGCTCACTTGACTACGTCTGTCAGTGCCTCTTTGGCCTTTCAGCAGGCATCTGCTTTTCAGATTTGCAAGGCCACAACCTGGTCTTCAGTTCATACATTGGTAAACTTTATGAAGTGGATGGTCAGGCCTCTGCTAAAACCAGCTTTGGTCACAAGGTGCTTCAGCCTGCTCTTTGAGTTCAGGATTGGCTCCCTTGTTGGTTCTTGTGGACCCCTCAGTGGTATTGCTCAGGGGAATCCTAGGATCTATTGTAAGCTCTCACAAACAGGGCCGCTTTTTAACCCTATTGTATTGCCACTGTGCTGTCTCCCTACATTTTGTAAAGCAATGCACAAACTGTTGGCGCTATATAAATCCTATATAATAATAATAATAATCTATGGTTAGATGAGCTTGTGTCCTGTACTGTACGATTTAATAAAATGTTTGACTCTCCCCTCTGTCGTGGTGGGTTTCCTCACATTGCTTGCTACAAAACAGAGGATAGCTGGGAATGGGACAGATTATACAGGCCAGTGTCCAATCACCTAAAGGTGGCTGCATGTAACTGAGGATCTATGATAAAAGGAGCTTGCATCCTATACTGTACTCCAAGAAAAGGGTTTTACAGGTAAGTCAAAAAATAAATTATATTCCAGCTAAATGCGCTTCTGTTTTGTGGAACCAAAGTGAACTCTCAAGCCAAGCTTTAACCCCTTCATGACTGAGCTTGTTTTTAGTTTCTGTTCGTAAATGACTGACACACTTTTGACATTTTTGCTGTGTGATTCTTCCACGTCAGTAATATACTTTCTTACAAAGTGCACCCACACATATTATATATTGTTTTTTAGAGGACAGATAGGGCTACATATTTATATCACATATGTGCGTCTAACGCCTCACTTAGGACAAATAAAATATAAAAAAAGAGGAAAAAACCGTTTAAAAAAAACACTTTTTTCCCAGTTTTGATTTGTAGTATTTTTTTTACAAAACCAGCACAGCTAAAAAAATGCAATAAATACATTCATTTATTTGTCCCTTATTTTATTTTATTTTTTACACATTTTTTTATTTTTTTTACACTTTTCACAATTTTTTTTTTTTTTTACACTTTTCACTTTTTTTTTTAACTTAAAAATGTTATTTTATTTATTTAATTATATCAAGCAGATTTTGTGAATTAATCTCACTGTTACTGCATGATAAATTAATAAATTTTTGGTTATTATCAGGCTGCTTCAAACTTCAGAACAGCCGATAATAAGTTAGTGACACTGATCCTGCAGCAGTTCAGGATTCAGCTGTTACTAAATGTTTTCTGATTGTTGCAACAACGATCAGCAAACAAACATTCTTCTTCCAGGAATAGATACATTGTAGGAATAGACACATTTTGTATCTATTCATGAAAGAAAAAAAAAAAGCCAGTATAGCTTGAGAGAGATATCTCTCGATCTATACGAGCTGTCAGAATGCCGGCAAAAGCCGGCATCTGTGTCCGCTTTGCTTTGACTCTCAGACACCCGATATTAAGGTATCGGGTGTCTGAAAAAGGTTAACCCTTTCATTGATGAATGCCTCTGTAGTAAGGGCAGCCATTAATGAATGTTAAAAGCTGATTCTCAGCGATTAACAGCCCTCTAAAGCAGCAAATAACTCGTCACGTACAGTGTACGTGACAAGTCATTTGGTCCCTTTGTGGCTGGACGTACAGTGTACGTCTCCCGTCACGAAGGGGTTAAACTTTGTTTAACTAAAATGTGGAGA